TTTCCCTTGCTGAGGCCCAGAAGATTGTGTCGCCTTTGAAGGATCCGTGCAAGAGCGGATGGGGCATTCTTGCAAACTGACCAGCTGTTCTGTTTTCTGTTATTTTACAGCACACCACTTCTGTGCTGAGACATGAACCAGCTCAACATGAGAAGGTCCAAATACACCCACGATAGGGAACACTTAGATGGCAGGTTTCGAATCAGGGTTTTTTCACCATGTGCAAATGCTCAGGCCAGCCTCTGTGTGCTTAACGAATTTAGTGGCTGACTTGGGCATCATGTGAAAGTTGTTTAGGTTTGCAAATAGCTTCTACATGACAGCTGTTTTCCTGAAATGATGTGTTTAAATGTAATGGTTTGGAAATGATTGTGTAGGCCGTTGATAGAGGATCATATGCCTATTTAAATAAATGGTATTTGCATAAGGATATGGATGGTCCTCAGCAACATAGGAATAGAAATCAGAAGCTTTTGGCTCCCTTCTCAGATCTGTCACAACTTCCTGTCTGTTTCATGTAACTCAGGTGGGAGCCAACTCTATGTATTAAGAATAAGGTCCCAAAACCATAAATTTCAGCTTCGTTTTATTTGCCTTTCAACCTTAAGCCTGTTAAGGACTCAAAGTTCAAACTTTCAGGCTTTTCTTTACAATCATTAGGGCTAGAATCTTCTTTCTGCTTCCTTCCGGGATTCTCATATTATAATCATGTGAATCTACAGACTTAGATGTTATGGGAAAATGTGAACTGCTGCAAATCCCATTAAGAAACTGCAAGGGTTAGCAAGTCAGGCTGCTGTGCTTCAGTTTCTATATGTATAACATGGCAGCAAATGATATATTTTGACCAGAAGACTTCTTGCTTCACGAGAAGCAAGACTGCAACTGCTGTGCATGAGAAGTTCCTATCAATTTCAGTATTTTCAGTGCCCTCGTGGTATACAGGCACATCAGCAAAGCATGAAATAGGATCGGCCTCGGAAGTCCTGACTGTAAATGCTATAGTCCATCCAGGCTGGCAGGAAAAATGATGTTAATTGCAGGCTCCAGTTGTACCTTCAAGACCTTTACAGTGAACAAGCACCAGCAGGCTTTGCAGCAAGGTATGTGCTGCACCCCTGGGTTTCCTTATTAGGAAGAAGAAAATGGGAAGTGACTATGTTAATCCTAGTTAATGACGCTGCTCCCCCTCTTCTTCCGTTCTCTCTGACAAGGAATTGGAATAAAATTGAAGCTTTACTGGGTTTTTTAAAAGTTGATTTGTTTTAGCATGGATGATTTTAACAGAATTATTTGAAGTTTTGTCCCCTCCAGCTCTTAAATGGAGCTGTTTTAGAGGACCAGGTTTGGTGAGGTTGTCTGAACGGTTCTCTTTGTGTTTCTGGAGTGTGTGACAAAGAGGAGGCTCTCGGTGTCGGGTAGCAGGATGCGATATGGAGGTGTGCACTCTGCAGCCTGGCGTCGCGGCTTTTCTTTCTTGTACACCGCGCTGGGTTGGTAAAATCCGAGGGCTGCACTTCGAAAGGACGGCAGGAGGCAAAGTATGTGTGCTGGAAGGACGTCGAGGACAAACAGTATCTTGAAAACGTTCTGTGGGATGCCAGGACAGTCCTTGCACACTGGGACTGTCCCGGCCAGTCGGGGACATCTGGTCACCTCTGGCTATTTTTCAGTGCCAGCCTATTGGTAACGTGGCAACACATGTTTCATCAGCGCCTGGAGTTAAGAAAGTGATGACAGATACCAACCAAAGTGTCAGCAAGCTGGAGAATCCAGATCTTGCTTCTCTGCCAGCAATGTTTTTTTTAATTTTATTTTCTCTCTCTCGCTTGAGCTCCTTTCTGTGCTCCAATGGTTTCTGCAGCGGCCAGGGGAACGTACAGTGCCTCTGCAGCGCGCCCCAGCCGGTGCCTTGGTTGTTATAATGCTATCAGTGTTTATTTCACAAGGGATTAGCAATTAAATATGTGTAAGTGAAAAACATATCTGATGGCATAAAACTCTAATGTTTCAGCAATGTTTAAATCATTGAGACTGTTTCTGTTAGGTTGTTTTAAAATTTCTACCCTGATCCTTTTTTCTTAAACCTACCCGTATAACAAGACTACATATTTTGGCCCGAGACAACCGTGTGTTGTCCTTTTAAAGTCAGGCTCTGCTTTCTTGATGAACTAGGTATTTCAGACAAAGAGCTGTTTTATATATGGAAAATATTTCTACTGGAAGTCATGTTTTCTTCAGAATTATCAGCCCCATACCGTGTCTGTAATAAGAAATGTTTCCTGCTG